ATTCTTCTCCTTATATCTCTCCCTAATCCTCCGTTTCTCTTCCCTCTCCCTGTGAAAATTAAAATAAAAAAAATATGAAGTGCTAAAAATCTAATTAAACTGTGCCGAAAACAAATTCCCTTTTCAGACTTAATGAAAATGGCAGGATCGCAATTATATATATATATATATAGCGATATTTTTTTAAAGGGTGGCAATGAGGCTGACCCCGAACAGGATTATGGCACTCCCAGGCCTCCCATGTATCATCTTGCAAAGTTGGGTGGGACTAACCGCAAGCATCTGGCCTCCTAATTTGGACAGACATTCTCTTTTATACATATAAATACAAATATATAATTCACAATACAAAATCATATATATTTTTACTATGATGCCTAACTACCGCCCATCGAAGACAGACATGCACCTTTGAGATACCAAGGGTTGCTGAAGAGATGGACTCCTTCAACGATCACTGAAACATAAGATGTGCACTTCACCACAATCAACGACTTCATCAACACAGCAGTGCGTGAAGACCTAGACCTCAGGCTCCTGTGGTTACTGATTGGCACTAATAAGTGCCACAACAACCACCATCCCCCACTCATCACCATCACCACCTTTACCCCACACTCACCACAACCACTATCGCCAACACAACCTCCAACCAGCACCACTTACGCCTCTCCATCCTCCACCATCACCCTTAACCACCACAATCACCATCACTATCACCGCCGCCACCACCACCATCACCCCCACCAACATCCCAACGCCTCGGCTAAAGCTTCCCCCAAGCAACAAACAATTCATACTAAATCCTTTGCAAGTGATAACAAGAACGTCGCCTAATCGAGAAAGCGAAGTGTTCACCAATCACAGAACAACGTGTATGGACCAGTAACATCACCAACGGAGGAGCTCCAGCACACGGCTCACACAGCCACGACAGGATGGAATACACTCTCCAGTGATGCACTTTTAACGAGGCGCGAAGAAAAGTCAGGAAGGTTGGCAGCGACGCGATACTTTCATGCTACTTACAGTTGACGATTGTTGAGATGGGCTGCTGAAGAGACGGGGTCATGAAGAGACGGGCTGCTGAAGAGACGGGCTGCTGAAGAGACGGGGTCATGAAGAGACGGGCTGCTGAAGAGACGGGGTCATGAAGAGACGGGCTGCTGAAGAGACGGGCTGCTGAAGAGACGGGCTGCTGAAGAGACGGGCTGCTGAAGAGACGGGCTCATGAAGAGACGGGCTGCTGAAGAGACGGGGTCATGAAGAGACGGGCTGCTGAAGAGACGGGCTGCTGAAGAGATGGACTCCGGAACTACCGTCTGCCACCGTCGGGAGGTAGGTACCGGTGGCCGGGAGGCACCTGCCACCGTCTGGAGGTGAGACGGTGGCCTGGAGGCACCTGCCACCGTCGGGAGGTAGGTACCGGTGGCCTGGAGGCACCTGCCACCGTCTAGAGGTAGGTACCGGTGGTCTGGAGGCACCTGCCACCGTCAGGAGGTAGGTACCGGTGGTCTGGAGGCACCTGCCACCGTCAGGAGGTAGGTACCGGTGGCCTGGAGGCACCTGCCACCGTCGGGAGGTAGGTACCGGTGGCCTGGAGGCACCTGCCGCCGTCGGGAGGTAGGTACCGGTGGTCTGGAGGCACCTGCCACCGTCGGGAGGTAGGTACCGGTGGCCTGGAGGCACCTGCCACCGTCAGGAGGTAGGTACCGGTGGCCTGGAGGCACCTGCCACCGTCTGGAGGTAGGTACCGGTGGTCTGGAGGCACCTGCCACCGTCTGGAGGTAGGTACCGGTGGCCTGGAGGCACCTGCCACCGTCAGGAGGTAGGTACCGGTGGCCTGGAGGCACCTGCCACCGTCAGGAGGTAGGTACCGGTGGCCTGGAGGCACCTGCCACCGTCAGGAGGTAGGTACCGGTGGCCTGGAGGCACCTGCCACCGTCAGGAGGTAGGTACCGGTGGTCTGGAGGCACCTGCCACCGTCAGGAGGTAGGTACCGGTGGCCTGGAGGCACCTGCCACCGTCTGGAGGTAGGTACCGGTGGCCTGGAGGCACCTGCCACCGTCAGGAGGTAGGTACCGGTGACCTGGAGGCACCTGCCACCGTCAGGAGGTAGGTACCGGTGACCTGGAGGCACCTGCCGCCGTCTGGAGGTAGGTACCGGTGACCTGGAGGCACCTGCCACCGTCAGGAGGTAGGTACCGGTGACCTGGAGGCACCTGCCACCGTCAGGAGGTAGGTACCGGTGGCCTGGAGGCACCTGCCACCGTCAGGAGGTAGGTACCGGTGGCCTGGAGGCACCTGCCACCGTCTGGAGGTAGGTACCGGTGGTCTGGAGGCACCTGCCGCCTTCAATACCTCGGAGCACCTCGGAAAGCAATCTAGCATAAGTGAACTCAAATGACCGCGAAAACATACCGCGGCGCGCACTCAGACGTTCCCATTACCCCGGAGAGCTGCACTTTCCCTCCTCCTCGTGCCTCCACACTTGCTTCTTCCCTCCCACATTCAATCACTCACTCCTATGTTCCCCCCTCCCACTCCCTTCCACCACATTTTGCTCTCTAAAATCCGTAATATATTTCCTCCCACGGTCGATCATCCGCCACGTCCTCTCTCACCATCCATCTCTCACTCTTTCCTCCCTCCCATGTTCACTCATTTCCTCCTCCCATGTTCACTCATTTCCTCCTCCCATGTTCACTCATTTCCTCCTCCCATGTTCACTCATTTCCTCCTCCCATGTTCACTCCCCATCATTCCTCACCGCCAGTAGCCAGACAGCGTGGGGGTCACAGCTGACTTTTGCTTCATTACAGTTTTCTCCATTCTCCTCTATTATTTTTTGTATTTTGTTGTCAATAATCTCCATCTCTTCATTTGATGTTTTAGTGAACTGGCAACGCAGTCTTAAATACACTTTTTTTATTTATAATGAATCAATTACATTGTTTATTTAATATTTATACTTATTTATATTACTGGTGCTATTTAGTATTATTAGAATTAGTGGTAGGAATAGTAATGGTAGAAACAGCAGAAGCAGTAGTAGAACAAATAGTAATTCAGTAGTAGTAGTAGTAATAATAGTGGTAGAAGTAATAGCAGTAATAGTGGAGATACTCTGGGTTTTCCATTCAATGATGTATCATCAATTTATGCGAACAATACAAATTATTTCGATACAAATGTGTGTTTCAGAATATAATTGTATATGCTTTATAAGTGTATTTTTTGGCCATGTGTCATTATGTGAAGCGATATAACCGAAAACATACAAGAAAATAAGAGATTCCTAACCTGACGCTCGAGAAATGTGCTTCCTCAATGATCACACTCAAGCGTCCGTCTTTTACATGATCACACGCAAGAGTCATCATCTTCCATGTTGTTCACGCAAGAGTCTACTTTTATCTGTTCACATGTTGCCTGACACACGCAAGAGTCTACATGTTGCATGTTCACACGCAAGAGTCTACATGTTGCCTGTTCACACGCAAGAGTCTACATGTTGCCTGATCACACGCAAGAGTCTACATGTTGCCTGTTCACACGCAAGAGTCTACATGTTGCCTGATCACACGCAAGAGTCTACATGTTGCCTGATCACACGCAAGAGTCTACATGTTGCCTGTTCACACGCAAGAGTCTACATGTTGCCTGTTCACACGCAAGAGTCTACATGTTGCCTGATCACACGCAAGAGTCTACATGTTGCATGTTCACACGCAAGAGTCTACATGTTGCATGTTCACACGCAAGAGTCTACATGTTGCCTGTTCATACGCAAGAGTCTACATGTTGCCTGATCACACGCAAGAGTCTACATGTTGCCTGATCACACGCAAGAGTCTACATGTTGCCTGTTCACACGCAAGAGTCTACATGTTGCCTGTTCACACGCAAGAGTCTACATGTTGCCTGATCACACGCAAGAGTCTACATGTTGCCTGATCACACGCAAGAGTCTACATGTTGCCTGTTCACACGCAAGAGTCTACATGTTGCCTGTTCACACGCAAGAGTCTACATGTTGCCTGTTCACACGCAAGAGTCTACATGTTGCCTGATCACACGCAAGAGTCTACATGTTGCCTGATCACACGCAAGAGTCTACATGTTGCCTGTTCACACGCAAGAGTCTACATGTTGCATGTTCACACGCAGGAGTCTACATGTTGCATGTTCACACGCAAGAGAAACATCCTCAAATTAACAGCCACAACAGCCACATGGACAACAGCAACATGGACAACAGCCACATGGACAACAGCCACATGGATAACATCCACATGGACAACAGCCACATGGACAACATCCACATGGATAACATCCACATGGACAACAGCAACATGGACAACAGCAACATGGACAACATCAACATGGACAACAGCCACATGGACAACAGCCACATGGACAACAGCCACATGGACAACAGCCACATGGACAACATCCACATGGACAACAGCAACATGGACAACATCAACATGGACAACATCCACATGGACAACATCAACATGGACAACAGCCACATGGACAACATCCACATGGATAACATCCACATGGACAACAGCAACATGGACAACAGCAACATGGACAACATCAACATGGACAACATCCACATGGACAACATCCACATGGACAACAGCAACATGGACAACAACAACATGGACAACATCCACATGGACAACAGCCACATGGACAACATCCACATGGACAACATCCACATGGACAACAGCCACATGGACAACATCCACATGGACAACATCCACATGGACAACATCCACATGGACAACAGCAACATGGACAACAGCCACATGGACAACAGCCACATGGACAACAGCCACATGGACAACAGCCACATGGACAACAGCAACATGGACAACATCCACATGGACAACAGCCACATGGACAACATCCACATGGACAACAGCCACATGGACAACAGCCACATGGACAACATCCACATGGACAACAGCAACATGGACAACAGCCACATGGACAACAACAACATGGACAACAGCAACATGGACAACAGCCACATGGACAACAGCAACATGGACAACATCCACATGGACAACATCCACATGGACAACAGCAACATGGACAACATCCACATGGACAACAACAACATGGACAACAGCAACATGGACAACAGCCACATGGACAACAGCCACATGGACAACATCCACATGGACAACATCCACATGGACAACAGCCACATGGACAACATCCACATGGATAACATCCACATGGACAACAGCAACATGGACAACAGCAACATGGACAACATCAACATGGACAACAGCAACATGGACAACATCAACATGGACAACAGCAACATGGACAACAGCAACATGGACAACATCCACATGGACAACAGCCACATGGACAACATCCACATGGACAACATCCACATGGACAACAGCCACATGGACAACAGCCACATGGACAACAGCCACATGGACAACAGCCACATGGACAACAGCCACATGGACAACATCCACATGGACAACAGCCACATGGACAACATCCACATGGACAACAGCAACATGGACAACATCCACATGGACAACATCCACATGGACAACATCCACATGGACAACAGCCACATGGACAACAGCCACATGGACAACAGCCACATGGACAACAGCCACATGGACAACAGCCACATGGACAACAGCCACATGGACAACAGCCACATGGACAACAGCCACATGGACAACATCCACATGGACAACAGCCACATGGACAACATCCACATGGACAACATCCACATGGACAACATCCACATGGACAACATCCACATGGACAACAGCAACATGGACAACAGCCACATGGACAACATCCACATGGACAACAGCCACATGGACAACAGCCACATGGACAACAGCCACATGGACAACAGCCACATGGACAACAGCCACATGGACAACAGCCACATGGACAACAGCCACATGGACAACAGCAACATGGACAACATCCACATGGACAACATCCACATGGACAACATCCACATGGACAACATCCACATGGACAACAGCCACATGGACAACATCCACATGGACAACAGCCACATGGACAACAGCCACATGGACAACAGCCACATGGACAACAGCCACATGGACAACAGCAACATGGACAACAGCCACATGGACAACAGCCACATGGACAACAGCCACATGGACAACAGCCACATGGACAACAGCAACATGGACAACAGCCACATGGACAACAGCCACATGGACAACAGCCACATGGACAACAGCCACATGGACAACAGCAACATGGACAACAGCCACATGGACAACAGCCACATGGACAACAGCCACATGGACAACATCCACATGGACAACAGCCACATGGACAACAGCCACATGGACAATATCCACATGGACAACAGCCACATGGACAACAGCCACATGGACAACAGCCACATGGACAACATCCACATGGACAACATCCACATGGACAACATCCACATGGACAACAGCAACATGGACAACATCCACATGGACAACATCCACATGGACAACATCCACATGGACAACAGCCACATGGACAACAGCAACATGGACAACATCCACATGGACAACAGCCACATGGACAACAGCCACATGGACAACAACAACATGGACAACAGCCACATGGACAACAGCCACATGGACAACAGCAAAATGGACAACATCCACATGGACCACAGCCACATGGACAACAGCCACATGGACAACAGCAACATGGACAACATCCACATGGACAACAGCCACATGGACAACAGCCACATGGACAACAGCAACATGGACAACATCCACATGGACAACAGCCACATGGACAACAGCCACATGGACAACATCCACATGGACAACATCCACATGGACAACAGCCACATGGACAACAGCAATATAGACAACAGCCACATGGACAACATCCACATGGACAACAGCCACATGGATAACAGCCACATGGACAACAACCACATGGACAACTGCCACATGGACAACAGCAACATGGACAACAGCAACATGGACAACAACCACACGGACAACAGCCACATGGATAACAGCCACATGGACAACAGCCACATGGACAACATCCACATGGACAACAGCCACATGGACAACATCCACATGGACAACATCCACATGGACAACATCCACATGGACAACAGCAACATGGACAACATCCACATGGACAACAGCCATATGGATAACAGCAACATGGACAACATCCACATGGACAACAGCCATATGGATAACAGCAACATGGACAACAGCCACATGGACAACAGCCACATGGACAACATTCACATGGACAACATCCACATGGACAACATCCACATGGACAACAGCCACATGGACAACATCCACATGGACAACATCCACATGGACAACAGCCATATGGATAACAGCAACATGGACAACATCCACATGGACAACAGCCACATGGACAACAGCCACATGGACAACAGCAACATGGACAACAGCCACATGAACAACAGCAACATGGACAACAGCCACATAGACAACATCGCTTTCATGTGATCGCTCAGATAAAGTGCCGCCGTCGATGATAAGTGTGGTCAGTGTAGAGGGTCTGGACGCATGTGGTCAGTGTAGAGGGTCTTGACGCAGGTGGTCAATGTAGAGGGTCTGGACGCAGGTGGTCAGTGTAGAGGGTCTGGACGCAGGTGGTCAATGTAGATGGTCTGGACGCAGGTGGTCAGTGTAGAGGGTCTGGACGCATATGGTCAGTGTAGAGGGTCTGGACGCAGGTGGTCAGTGTAGAGGGTCTGGACGCAGGTGGTCAGTGTAGAGGGTCTGGACGCAGGTGGTCAGTGTAGAGGGGTCTGGACGCATGTGGTCAGTGTAGAGGGTCTGGACGCATATTGTCAGTGTAGAGGGTCTGGACGCAGGTGGTCAGTGTAGAGGGTCTGGACGCATGTGGTCAGTGTAGAGGGTCTTGACGCAGGTGGTCAATGTAGAGGGTCTGGACGCAGGTGGTCAGTGTAGAGGGTCTGGACGCATGTGGTCAGTGTAGAGGGTCTGGACGCATATGATCAGTGTAGAGGGTCTGGACGCAGGTGGTCAGTGTAGAGGGTCTGGACGCAGGTGGTCAGTGTAGAGGGTCTGGACGCAGGTGGTCAGTGTAGAGGGTCTGGACGCATATGGTCAGTGTAGAGGGTCTGGACGCATGTGGTCAGTGTAGAGGGTCTGGACGCATGTGGTCAGTGTAGAGGGTCTGGACGCATGTGGTCAGTGTAGAGGGTCTGGACGCATGTGGTCAGTGTAGAGGGTCTGGACGCATGTGGTCAGTGTAGAGGGTCTGGACGCATGTGGTCAGTGTAGAGGGTCTGGACGTATGTGGTCAGTGTAGAGGGTCTGGACGCATGTGGTCAGTGTAGAGGGTCTGGACGCATGTGGTCAGTGTAGAGGGTCTAGACGCATGTGGTCAGTGTAGAAGGTCTGGACGCATGTGGTCATTGTAGAGGGTCTGGACGCATGTGGTCAGTGTAGAGGGTCTGGACGTATGTGGTCAGTGTAGAGGGTCTGGACGTATGTGGTCAGTGTAGAGGGTCTGGACGCATGTGGTTAGTGTAGAGGGTCTAGACGCATGTGGTCAGTGTAGAAGGTCTGGACGCATGTGGTCAGTGTAGAGGGTCTGGACGCATGTGGTCAGTGTAGAGGGTCTGGACGCATTTGGTCAGTGTAGAGGGTCTGGACGTATGTGGTCAGTGTAGAGGGTCTGGACGCATGTGGTCAGTGTAGAGGGTCTGGACGCATGTGGTCAGTGTAGAGGGTCTGGACGTATGTGGTCAGTGTAGAGGGTCTGGACGTATGTGGTCAGTGTAGAGGGTCTAGACGCATGTGGTCAGTGTAGAGGGTCTGGACGCATGTGGTCAGTGTAGAGGGTCTGGACGCAGGTGGTCAGTGTAGAGGGTCTGGACGCATGTGGTCAGTGTAGAGGGTCTGGACGCATGTGGTCAGTGTCGAGGGTCTTGACGCATGTGGTCAGTGTAGAGGGTCTGGACGCATTTGGTCAGTGTAGAGGGTCTGGACGTATGTAGTCAGTGTAGAGGGTCTTGACGCATGTGGTCAGTGTAGAGGGTTTGGACGCATGTGGTCAGTGTAGAGGGTCTGGACGCAGGTGGTCAGTGTAGAGGGTCTAGACGCATGTGGTCAGTGTAGAGGGTCTGGACGCATGTGGTCAGTGTAGAGGGTCTAGACGCATGTGGTCAGTGTAGAGGGTCTGGACGCAGGTGGTCAGTGTAGAGGGTCTGGACGCAGGTGGTCAGTGTAGAGGGTCTGGACGCAGGTGGTCAGTGTAGAGGGTCTGGACGCAGGTGGTCAGTGTAGAGGGTCTGGACGCATATGGTCAGTGTAGAGGGTCTGGACGCAGGTGGTCAGTGTAGAGGGTCTGGACGCATGTGGTAAGTGTAGAGGGTCTGGACGCACGTGGTCAGTGTAGAGGGTCTGGACGCAGGTGGTCAGTGTAGAGGGTCTGGACGCAGGTAGTCAGTGTAGAGGGTCTGGACGCAGGTGGTCAGTGTAGAGGGTCTGGACGCATGTGGTCAGTGTAGAGGGTCTGGACGCAGGTGGTCAGTGTAGAGGGTCTGGACGCATGTGGTCAGTGTAGAGGGTCTGGACGCATATGGTCAGTGTAGAGGGTCTGGACGCAGGTGGTCAGTGTAGAGGGTCTGGACGCAGGTGGTCAGTGTAGAGGGTCTGGACGCAGGTGGTCAGTGTAGAGGGTCTGGACGCATATGGTCAGTGTAGAGGGTCTGGACGCATGTGGTCAGTGTAGAGGGTCTGGACGCATATGGTCAGTGTAGAGGGTCTGGACGCAGGTGGTCAGTGTAGAGGGTCTGGACGCATGTGGTCAGTGTAGAGGGTCTGGACGCATGTGGTCAGTGTAGAGGGTCTGGACGCATGTGGTCAGTGTAGAGGGTCTGGACGTATGTGGTCAGTGTAGAGGGTCTGGACGCATGTGGTCAGTGTAGAGGGTCTGGACGCATGTGGTCAGTGTAGAGGGTCTAGACGCATGTGGTCAGTGTAGAGGTCTGGACGCATGTGGTCATTGTAGAGGGTCTGGACGCATGTGGTCAGTGTAGAGGGTCTGGACGTATGTGGTCAGTGTAGAGGGTCTGGACGTATGTGGTCAGTGTAGAGGGTCTGGACGCATGTGGTTAGTGTAGAGCGTCTAGACGCATGTGGTCAGTGTAGAAGGTCTGGACGCATGTGGTCAGTGTAGAGGGTCTGGACGCATGTGGTCAGTGTAGAGGGTCTGGACGCATGTGGTCAGTGTAGAGGGTCTGGACGCATTTGGTCAGTGTAGAGGGTCTGGACGTATGTGGTCAGTGTAGAGGGTCTGGACGCATGTGGTCAGTGTAGAGGGTCTGGACGCATGTGGTCAGTGTAGAGGGTCTGGACGTATGTGGTCAGTGTAGAGGGTCTGGACGTATGTGGTCAGTGTAGAGGGTCTAGACGCATGTGGTCAGTGTAGAGGGTCTGGACGCATGTGGTCAGTGTAGAGGGTCTGGACGTAGGTGGTCAGTGTAGAGGGTCTGGACGCATGTGGTCAGTGTAGAGGGTCTGGACGCATGTGGTCAGTGTAGAGGGTCTTGACGCATGTGGTCAGTGTAGAGGGTCTGGACGCATGTGGTCAGTGTAGAGGGTCTGGACGTATGTAGTCAGTGTAGAGGGTCTTGACGCATGTGGTCAGTGTAGAGGGTTTGGACGCATGTGGTCAGTGTAGAGGGTCTGGACGCAGGTGGTCAGTGTAGAGGGTCTAGACGCATGTGGTCAGTGTAGAGGGTTCTGGACGCATGTGGTCAGTGTAGAGGGTCTAGACGCATGTGGTCAGTGTAGAGGGTCTAGACGCATGTGGTCAGTGTAGAGGGTCTGGACGCATGTGGTCAGTGTAGAGGGTCTGGACGCATGTGGTCAGTGTAGAGGGTCTGGAGACATGTGGTCAGTGTAGAGGGTCTGGAGACATATGGTCAGTGAACTTACCCCCATACTAGAAATCTTTAACAATCCATCACACATATATGACCATCCAAGAAGTTCGTTACCGACCTAGAGACCACTGCCCCTCCGTTACCGACCTAGAGACCACTGCCCCTCCGTTACCGACCTAGAGACCACTGCCCCTCCGTTACCGACCTAGAGACCACTGCCCCTCCTGTAAATAATCTGCTTTCCAATAAGCCTCTGATTCCCAAACTGGTGATCATGACTTCCCTGAGGAACCTTTTTGTAATATGTAAGGGGCCATAAGTCTAGGCTGGACACAACATCTTGTATTATAATAACAAAATACATGGATTTAAGGAAAAAAATTGTTGCTTAAAACCAAGTGTTGGGGACCATTAATAAGGTCGGTGTATGACAGAAGGGTAATAACGGTGAAGAGTTTCGGAACCACTGCAATTAGCACTTGATTATCATAGAAATCGAGTACCAGCCTAGTAGCACATCGCCCAGTCAATCCTTATCACCGCGAAAACAAGTAAATATTTGTTTATCATGCAAACTATGCATCGTAGTTGGCATTGGCCTTCCTAGTAACTCACAGACTTACTAAATTCCTTTGATTATTTGGCTATCCAAAAAACCCTTGATCATCCTTGAAACTATTTCATTAAACCGTCCAAGACACGCTGGGTGATTCTGGAAACTCTTGGACCTCAGTAAAACAAATCTCAAGACCCTAAAAAACAAAAAGTCTCCAATTCTCCTCCACCACCTCACACTCCCTTGCACATTTCACGAACATTCTTGGCCACCCTCTGGAAACGCCTTGCGGACGGTCTGGAAAGTTATCATAAATATCCCTGCCGCTCCTTGGGGACATTCGCTTACCCTTCTTGCCTTTCCAACGGTCCATTTTCTTCCAGGACTTCACCTCTCCTTTTCGTCTCTTGGCCATACAGCCGCCTATTTTTCAGGGGGGGGGGGCATGATTTGACCTCTCTCCCTCCCTCCCTCCCTTCCTTTCCCTTCCTATCTTCCAAGCAACCAAGTATCTTCCAGGATTTATCATCCCCTTTCTCACCTTGCCTTCCAAGCTTTCCATTTTCTTCCAGAATATTTCGCTTGTGTCACTTTTCTCTTCTTCACTTTCTTTTCTCTTATTTACAGTAATTGGTGGATTAGTTCAGAGCCCATATTTCTCAAGTCTTGATAATCTCTGGATTTAGTGTCCTCTACGTTCCAAATGTCATTTATGCCTTGCTCTGTATTTTTCGTATAATATCCTTTGTTATGGTATTTTGGTTCAGACAATATGTTCGTGTTTGTGTGGTCAGATCTCCGTCTGTGTCACGTTATTGGGTTCGTCATGGGCTTTGTTTCTTTTCTCGAGTAATAGTTTTACATGATCCCCGGCCCCTCGGGATGTGTATTGAGTACACGACACAACTTATTGTTATTGAAAACACGTAGACGACAGAGAATAATGAAAAAAAAATTTGGTGTAGCTCAGGATACCTTAACTCAACACCTTGTGTAGCTCAGGATACCTTTACTCAACACCTTGTGTA